ACGATAACAGTAGCTGTCCAGTTTAAACTGTTGTATGCCCATATATAGTGATGATGTGCCTACATATTGTCATAATGTGATGTCATCATGAACATATTTGGGCATATCACTTGTTTTTGTCAAAATGTGTTAGTCTGGACAGGGCTAAAGATGAGGGAAGGGAATATGATGCTGCATACCAACAAAGGCCTCGTTCATCCACTAGAAAGTTGTGGAGCACAATAAAAATTCACTTCACAGCTGACACCCCCCTCTGTTAACACTCAGACCCCCACTTCCATGCCCCTCCATATCTCCCCACCTCCTCATCCATGTTAATGCTCCTAGATGCGGCACCAGTCAATAGCAGTCATGATTTCAATGACAATGCTAACAATGACATAATGTTATGATATCTTTTCATATAAGATTCACATGATTATCAATAATGATCGTTTCATTACCTTAAATTGTAATACATTGGCTTATTAATATTTATTTGAGTTCTGTATATATACTCGTAGTTAAGAATAACAAGTTTTTTTGGTTTGCTTTGTGTTTATAGTGAAAATGTGTTGAAGAATAACACCCGAAACATGTTTACCATTAAATCTTTAGTTCTTTTCTTAATTTACGTCCGTTTGGGTCTAAGAAGGAGTTAAGTTTACTTGGGAAGATATCCTTACGTTTCATCAAAGCTTAACAGGATTATAATTTTTTTACATAATAAATGTATGTTAGATATTTGCTGTCAGGAGATCCTGGTAACATCAATGTTTTTGTTGTTTCGTGCAATCCAGCCAATCAGCCATACTGTTTTTTTTTCTGTTTAAACTGGTGAAATGAATGATATGATATGATGACAATGTTAATAATGACATAATAATGATGTTATAATAGTATTCTCCAAATTTCTTTTTTTTTTCAGCGAATCATTTCCTTATGACGAGCAGTTTCGTATTTTAACCAAATTCATTGTAGATCAAACACAGACACCAAATGCCAAGGTACTTAAACAATACAAAATGAAGTTTAAATTCTTGTTATTATAACTCAATATTTTTATTTGAATTTAATGAAATTATTATATAATGCATCTTCAATAGGCGTACATTATATTGTTTATAGGTGTCAGTAATGCAAATTTCATAACTGTTTTTAAAAAATATTATCAATATTCTAATTCTAGTGTGTATGAAATTTTACCTTTTGCGCTTATTAGGTCAAGGTATCAATGCTGTGTTACATGGAGAACTTGACTAGGCTGATGGATCCGTCTGAATTTGCTAACTCCAGTGAGACTAGACTCGCCGTGTCCCGCATCATAAGCTGGACCAGTGAAGCTAAGAGTGCTGATGTTAGAAAGGTAAGTTTAAGGCCATTTATATCCACTTATGAATTTAATATCAAATTTATATAAAAATAAATCTGGAATTTATTGAGGCAAGAGCATTTCACCTAGATCATATTTAGCCTGTTTCACCAGCTGACAATCTGTGTATCTATCTATAAACTAAATTTAGTTGAATGAACCATTTAACAAATTATATAACAAATTAATATTTAAACCATATTAAGGAAAACAAGAAATACCTAAACCACAAAATATAATGCTGTTTTTTTTTTGTTTTTTTTTCTTCTAATGGAATGAACAAATCATAATGCTTAACAAATATTGTATTATATTTTCTGGGAATATTAACTGGAACCAGTATATTTATGTGATTCAATTTTGATGTTGCTTGTTTTTCCTCTAGGCTTCACAAGCGGTTCTTATTGCATTGTTTGAGCTGAACACACCAGAGTTCAGTTCCATGTTATCAGTACTGCCTAAAACATTCCAAGTAAGTCAGCTAATAAAACTCACTGAATGGTGGTTTGTTTTTTTGCAACCCCACTTCTTCCCTTACTTTTTGCAAGTTTTGTTCTTAAACCAGATAGAAAAGTTTTTTTTTTTCTCAATGGGTTTAGGGAGTGGCTTTTGAAAGAAAAAGTTAACAGGCTCTCTCATTCAGAAGTGATGTCTACAAATTGCTAACTTGTGGTCTAGAACGGTTCATCTTTATATACCCTGTCATGCTAACCATACTATCTTGAACATTGATGTTGATTTCAACATTCTGTGAATCGGGAACCTCAGATTGTTTGTGGAGTTGCTAAGTCATGCATAACTAATAGAAAACAAGGTCATTGGCAAGGCCATTATTATGTCGAATAGCTATTGCTCGCCAGTCATAAAGTATGGTGATATATAAAGCTTTTTTTTTTTTTATAAATAATTTGCCAAATATTGTAATTAGCGTGCCTTGCTTAGTAAGCTGGTGGAGGAATTGGGTCAGATTATGCGTTGCGTCGTACAAAGACATCTTGTACCAAACCTGTGATTTTGTTTCACATTCTAGATTGAATGACGATACAGATTGTGCAAGCAGCTCCTAATTACCATAACTACTAAAGAATTCTAATAAAACATTAATTTTCAAACCTTCAGAATAAACTATCATGTTATAAAAACTTTACACATTTTTTAACTTCGTTCAGTGACAGACCGAATAATCAACTTGAAAATTGTTATTATGCAATAAAAGATGCAATTGCAATAAATTTAACAGTTACATATTTTTATAAGTGTAAGCATCATGCTATTAAGTAATATTTGACTCTATCATGGTTTGCTTGAATTGAGCCATGCAGTTATTTTTTTGAATTTGTTGCCTCTTTCCTTCTTTCAGTTGATTCACTCTGCTTTTTTAAACCCTCTAAATTTTTAATTTTTAATTCAATCCTTAATTTTACTTTATGCATTAAATCTTGTACTCAATGTTCATCTTGTAGTACTTCCATATTGCTATTTTTAAATTAGAATTTTTTTTTTCATTTCATTCATTATTTTTTATAAATTTAGTTAATTTCATCTCATGATGATCTTACCAGTCTTGTGTAGCGCCTTCACACTTTCAATTTGTAGAATCCATTTAAAGATAGTTGAATTCACTGCTTAAGAAATGTTCAACTGAATCAATAACAGAAGGGGAAGACAGAAGACGGTAGCCATTTCAAATTAGCAGATCTTTTGGTATCTAAATTTAATGATTCATACTAAAAAATTTTTATCACATTCCAACTGAAGTAATTTTATAATGAAAAAAAATACACTGTTGAAAAAATATTTATGTGACTATATCTAAGGCAATGTAAAACATATATTAAACTAAATATAGTAAGTTTATATATATTTACTTATTTATCCGCGTAATATTTTCATCTGGACATCTCTCTTGTGCTATTTTTAGATGCTTTATTAGTTTTTTTTTTTAAATGGGAAAATGAGGTCGGTATTTTGCTTGTGCACCGACTTAGCTTGTTATTCTTTGTCTCTGTCCCGTTCTAGGAAGGTGTTACCAAGCTATTGCGTAATTACGTGCGTAGTACCACCACACACGGGAATGAGGTAATATAAACCGGCCAATCAAAAAACGGAAATAAACCAACCTAGACAAAAATGTGCAGTGCACATTTTGTCACCATGTAATTTCTTTACTCTTTTTGTTTGTGCTCCATATATTCAAATTAAATTTATTTATTTGTTTTCTATTTGAATATTTTATGCATATTAATTTTTTTTTTTTCAATAATTTGTTGCCTTCCTTTTCATCTATCTTGTTTTTTTATTTATGCTTTTCTTTGTGTGGCTTTATTTGCATTCCATGTAGATATTAGGCTTAGCTGCTGGTGGATTTTTGCTGCATGCTTTTCTTCGCACGTCTTCGTCTCATTAGCATATTGCCTCATTAGCATATTATCACTACCTTGAATAATCATACATGTGTGCTCATTAATATTTTTTGTAGTAATAAACAGCAGTGTTAAATACAAGATAGACATAATATTTTGTGTGATTTTAAATATCAACCTAAAATATTCTAAGAGTAATTTCAATAAATTTAATAATAAACTAATAATATCATAGAAACCATAGACCTTTTCATGGTTGCGCTGCATTGTAACTACATATTGCTATAGTTAAACATGATTGCCATGGTTACACATATAGTAACCATAAGCATGTGATTATTTTTCATTTTTCATGTATGGGCATGCTGGGTAATGTCTTATATAACCTACTACCTAAGGCCTGTCTCTTATACACAGATATATATATATAAATATATTTATTTATATATATATATATTTGTGTTTATATATATTTTGAATATTAGTTATATATTTTTGGTATCCTGAATCTGATTGTAGCAAGACAATCGGTTATAGACAGATGTACCAAACATGATACTTCCCTGACGTAGGATTGTCAATTAGCCAACATGTCTTCCAACTGTTGGCTATTATTACTTCTCTATATATGTATATTAGTGTCTGTTCAAGTATTAATGAGTTTAGTGAATATTAATTCCTTAATAATTTTTAATGAATTTTAGTGAATATATAATAAATATTTTAGTTGTAATGTTTTTTGTTCATAATGGATAGTATTAGTTTGTATTATCTATTTTCTTTGATTTAAATATAAGGCCAAAAAAAGTTTGTGTCACCCAAGCACAAATGGCCCTAACCCTAGAAAGTTTAGGTTTGGTTATTTTTGTAACAAGAAAGAGTAAAAAATACTTGATATCAAAATGAAACAGTCACTTTTCAAGGTTTCATTAGCAAATTTAAATCTCTGTCCATACTATAAAATTTTATGTGACAAATTTGTGTAATGTGCCCATACATGGGCAAGATGATGTCATAATGCACTCAAATATGGGCATGTCACAGATATTTGTCACATACAATTTGATGGGGTGGACAAAGCGTGATACATTAACTAAAATTAGTAAATAAAAATCTAAACCAACTTACCCTAGTTTTCCAATGTCACTGTAATTGGGGCAAAACTGCAATTTTCTTGGCCTTTTATTGCAATGATTTATTCAAGCTTACATAATATATTTTCAAAAATTCACACATTTCTATACAAAATCCATGAAACTATTAACAGTTTATAGACAAGAAATATTCTGCTGTGAGTGTTTGATAGGTCTATAGAGGGTGCTTGTCAAGTATTATCTTACTAACCAACCAGTATGCTTCTGTATTAAATATTGGAAGGATTTAAGTGAATACTAACATAGTAGTTATATGTAAACCTTCTGAGTAGAACAACAGATAACATGTGTGTTAATCTAGAAAACACTTGTGGTAAACTTTAAACATTTTTTAAGTGAGCATTGTTTTCTTACTATCTTTGATATTAACCTTGGTGTGATTGTAAAAATGGGTATTCAACATTGATTGAATATAAAGTGTGCATAAATACTAATTATATGTAATTATTGAAACATTGCATTTTACTGGAAATTTAGTTAATTACAACATTATACAGTTTCATGAACATTTTATTGCCAAAAAATTCATCCATAATTATTAAAATTTATTATTTTTATGTTATCATTATCAACAACATTTATTTTTATCATGATCATGATTGTATAATTATTTTTAAATAAATATTTATTATTGCTATTGCTGTACTATTATTATTATTATTATTATTAATATTATTGTCATAATTTTTTATTCATTTGTATTTATTGTTGTTAATTACTTTACAAATTGCAATTTTCCTGTAAAGTAAATTAAATAAATATATATATGATGTTAGTAGAAGTAATTATCAATGATTGATTTGCCAAATGGATGTGTTTATATTCCCTCTTGGTTTCCTTTCACCACCATGCTCTTAAAATAAGTGCACTGCTTTTTGTTGCTCTCATGGCCTTCCATATGCCTTGAAAATTTGTAATTAACTGTCATATATGCAATCCCTTTTTCTTATTTGAAAGAAACGATCGTCTGTACTGTATATTATATATTTCTTCTTTGCCATAATGGAAAAGAACTTTTCCTACTTGGTTTAAGCTTGTGAAAATATGGAGTTTTACTATTACTGTAAATTGTGTCACTGGTTTATTTTGTAGAAAATGGCAGAGGAAGCAAGAAGGTCATCTCCAAGGTCAACTTTACAAAGGTCACCACGCTCGGTCGAATCGTCACCACGATATAGTTCATCAACGTCATCGAATCATCATTACGATGACATTGATAACAACATGAACTCAGAAGAAGTATACAAATCCCTTCAAAAAACAACAGCTGAAATTCAGAACTACACGTTTAGCAGCCGAGGCGACATGGATAGTGGTTATCTTCGCAACGGCCGAATGAACGGCAGTGAGGTAGCCAAAAGCCCCCTTCTCACGCCCGAAATACAGATTGATAGTACGGAGGGAAACTACAGGTTTTTTAACGCGATCACATCTGTTGACGATGAGGTTTTTCTGACGACCACTCGACACAATTACTCTCGTCCCGAAAGCCCTCTTATCTTTTCAAATTATCCAATACAAGTTAGTGCAATTAAAAAAACAGTAAATCTGAAATTGTTATTAACAAAATTATAAATTAACTATTAACCACATCACCATTATTTAAAGCAGTATTAACATTTTTATTTTGGCTTAAATATATTACAATACTGCTAATAGATGCACCAACTCATTACATTTGTTCTCTAATACTTTGATATACTTTTACTTTTATACTTTTTATTGAAGAGGGAATATTTTATATTTCTCATCTTAACTAACATTGGTTTATTTATTTCCAGTAACTTGATAGCTATTTCCCTCCGCACTCATCATTTAAAGGTTTTAATATCTCATATTTTCATGTCAAACTTTTGAGTTATTTAATTAATTTTTTAAGAGGAATACTTAAAATTCCTTAGCTTTACAAGTTCAGTAATTGCCATTTAGCTGTTAAAGTCACTATCAACAATATCAAGTTTTATGTGGTAATATCTGTGATTGATCCATATATAGGCGTGATGATAAAGCTCACTGAGCTAAACTGGTGGTAGCCACTGTGTGTGTGTGTGCACAGAACCATAGAAATCCTTTGCTATGTGGTTCAGTTTCATCCACTGTTTCCTTGTGTTTCAGCTAGTGGGCTGAAATTCAAGTATAAAGAAGCACACCATCTTTCGGATGACATTTTTTAGCCATTAGTCCTGTGTGGAATATAACCCATGTGCATGCGAACAAATGCAGTACACTCTTCAAAAAAGAGTAAGGGATTGTCACGGTGTACTGCCCCAGAACACTGGAATGTCTTTGGGGTGTTCAAGTAAATCCAAACCAATTCATCACATCTATACTGATCTTGATGATGTCATATTAGATCCATATTACTGTATGTGCAAATCACATAACACTTGATAGTGTAGACTGAACCTAAGGCCAAATAAGCAAAATCATGTTTCTTGTCTGGGTTTTTTGGAAAAAAAAGGAGGTCAAGGCCCCTCCTGTAGCATGGTTGAGGTGTAGCTTAGTTGTTAAATATGCTAGCCTCCCAATACCAGGGTCTTTGGTTTAAGTCCTATTAATGACAAATTTTGTTTTTCTCATGTCGAAAACAATTCCGCTATCTAAGCCTCATAACAAGACTTGGATTTTAGAGCATATTGTGAAAGGGATTCTACTTTGACAGTTAGTTTGCTATTTGCAATCCTTAACCCTTGTACCTAAATAACTTAAAATATTGTAAACACATTGGTATCGGGTATATTTTCAGGGTGTTGCATCCTCGTGAAAACATGAGGCAGCAGCCCAAGAAACAATGCAACAGAGGAGGAGAAACATGTTTTTTCTGTATTTGACGTTATCAAACATTTGTATTTATTTAAACTAAATTATATTAAAAACAAGTTATTATTTTGTTTCATAGTAGTAATTTACATAATTGCTATTTTGGTTTTTAAAATGTTTTATTTTTTTTTTTTTTATTAAAGTAAAATTAAAATAATTTGTATATAGTTATACAGTACATGCAAATTGTGTGATGGTTTATGAAGAAGTCTGCGTGTAATTGGTCTGTCAGATGTGATTGTATATTAAGATATTGTGATCTAGTTATTTATTGCCATCCAAAAATTTCATTTTATTAATTCATTCTAATTTTTTGGTATTTAAAATTTTATGTATTAATTTATTTTGGTTTAATTCATTAAATTATTATAATAACATTTTTTATAGCACTTATTAACAAATTAGTTATAGAACAGCATATGCCATATAATTTGATTATTATTAATTTTTTAAATTTAATTATTATATTTATGTTCTTAAATGTAGGCTTTAAGGACAAGCAGAGGTGCATTAACAGATTCAATGTTGTTTGATGAGGATGAGTTCAATTCTGGTGAGTTAAATAAACCCTTGAAAAAATCATTTAACACTTAAAAATCTCTAAATATCTGGACATTTCTAAACACATGTCAGTGTTTAAAACACCTACACTTCTCGGAATAATACCAAGACATCTCTAAGCACCTAAAATCACTTTAAAATCTGCAAGTTTGTTCATCTATCCTTTATACAATGATATGTACACCTGACTGACTCACCATATATTTTAGCTTTACACTATACTGTATGTCTAAAGTCCAACTCGGCAGCATTGTACAAGGTAGTCTGGCACAATCTATTCTACGATGAGCCTTCTTCATGAGAGTGCATTGGGTTGTAGAATATTTCTCACAATGACCTAAAACTGTCCCTGATGATAAACCATGTATGATTTGGCCATAATACTGCAGTACCTGTAAGTGATTTTGTTAACTAAAAACTAGAGGGCAGTAGTACTTAATGTCGTTTTTAACCCTTTTTCTGTTTGTCTGCCTTAGCCTTACCTGATGATGTTACAGATGCATTTGTTCCTTTATTAAAAGAGTTGTCAAACCACAATGAGCGGTAAGTAAAAAATTTGCCAACCATTATTTTTTGGCATTTTTTTTTTAATTTAAGACTTTCCAGTTGATCTTTTTATTCCTCCATTTACCATTACTGAAAATTGATTTGATTGATTTTTTTGTCACAGGTTTGAGGAGAGGAAATCTGCCATGATTCAACTGATCCGTCTAACACGTGAGAACAGCTTGACCATGTGGGATGACCACTTCAAAACAGTCCTACTTTTGATGTTGGAAACACTTGGTGACTCAGAGGTAATGTTTCAAGAAGATCCAAATCATCACTGTTATAAAAGAAATACAGGACATTTATGCCATCATATTGATCTTGATTGTTAAGCATCATTAAGATGCAGATCATCAATGCAATTACAAAGGCACAGATCATCAGTTCCTTCTCAAAGATATGGAGATTCTTACTGCCATCTCAAAGATCGAAATAATTGCCATCACAAAGACCATGATCATCATTTGTATCTCAAAGATCTGGACATTCCTACTGCCATTACGAAGATCTATATATTTGCCATCACAAAGATCCAGTTCATCATTCCCAAGAATGATGACCCACATGCATAATTTAAATATATTTTTCTGTTGAATTTTCCAAATATAATTTTTCTCTTTAATAGTCTTTTGTTTAATATTCTTTTAGGCATCGATCAGGGCTCTTGCCTTAAGAGTTCTGCGTGAGATCCTTCGTAACCAACCAGATCGTTTCAAAGACTACGTAGAACTGACTATTCTCAAGATTCTTGAAGCACATAAAGACTCACAAACAGAGGTAATAAAACATTAATTCAATTTATGCATCATATTCCATATTTCTGTCTTGATGTTCAACCATCCATATCTTCTACTTTAATTTGCATCATAAGCAATCCTATTTCTTGTTTTAAGGTATATCATTGACCATTTTATGTCCTGGACTATTTATGTATCAATAAAATGAAATCATCAGTCATTAGTACTTTTAAAGTTTATATAGTTACCCAATAGGACATCAACAAATTTGCTACTGGAAAGGCCACCATGTAACAGAACGAATAAAGAGATCTTTTAAATTAACGTTTTTCTTGAAGGTTGTACGTGCTGCTGAAGATACGTCTGCGACCCTAGCTAACTCCATCCCGCCTGAACAGTGCGTACGGGTCCTCTGTCCAATCATCCAAACAGCTGATTATCCTATCAACCAGGCTGCCATTAAGATGCTTACAAAAGTCATTGAACTTATGGATGAAACTTATGTGCTGGATGTGTTAAGTGAGGTTGTTCCTGTTCTTCTCAAGGTAATTTTTTAAAAATATTAAATAATTTTTGTGTAGCGCATCATGCAAAAAAGCCTCTATGTGCTTAGTTACTAAGCTCTTTGGGTGGGAAATTTTTATAGTGGGAATGTATAAAAAAAAAATGTAGCCCTATAAAACTAAACCTACTCCCTTAAACAATAAACACCACTGGGTATTCGATATTCGAATAAATACAGTACGGTTGAAATTCATCTTCTTTGTTTTTAGTCGTACGACCATCAAGAGAGCAGTGTGCGTAAAGCAAGTGTTTTCTGCCTCGTTGCCATTCATTGTACAATCGGAGATGATCTCAAAGAATACCTTAAAGACCTTCCTGGGAGCAAGGTAAGTCGGTTGTTTATGTATTCATTACAAGTGCAAGAGAACTGTTTTGCTTATATGTTGAGTAACACAAGCTGTGGTGTAGTGGTTAAGGTGCTTGCCTTCTAATCTCAGGGTTATGGGTACAAATCCTATACTGAGATGTTTTCTCACAAATGAAAAGAACTCTACCTGCCAAGCCTCACAATAAGACTGAAGCCAGGCACACACTGTCAGCAAAGGGCTGTCGACATGATTCAGTAGTGGATGTGACAAAGCCTATGCTTACGATTACGAACAATTAGTATTTAACAACATTCTGTCTTGAGTGCAAAAGATAATCAATGGACACAATGTCGCATCTTCAAGCACTCATACAAAGTTGAGTTGGCTTTATTGGCCAACAGTCGACTGACTAAGTGTGTGTCTGGCTTTAGTTTAGAGTGCAATACATTAAAAAAATAAAAATGTTAGCGCATAAGTCTTTTATCTTGTTATTAATTAAGTTTTTTTTTTTTTCAGATGAAGCTTCTTAATCTTTACATTAAACGTGCTCAACAGGAAAAGCAGAACCAAGCGCCGCTTTCGCCAAGCAGCACAGGTAGTAGATAAGCACGACTTAAAGACATGCAGCTCAACTTCCAAGTGCCCCTCTCGCCAAACAGGATGAGATACACAACTTCACAAAACGCAGCTTTTGGAACCGCTAACTACGCGCACAAGCTCTGAGCGAGTGCATTTAATTGATCACCTGCCTATATTTGGAGTATGGAATGAATTTACTGTGATTCACTTATGCCCACGGCTAAAGGAACTTGTTTCATTGTTGCAGATAGTCAAGAAAATGCATTTACCTTTAGCGGAAGAGAGGCATTTCCATTTGTAGGCAATCCTTCATAGATGTTTTGTAGTTCATCGTGCGTATGTATATCATAAGGATTTCATGTGCAAATATCATATATGATATTTACAGCATGTGAAATTATCACACACAGAGACTTATGTAGAGCCTGTGGAATTTTTTAAATGTTTAAAAGGCATGTGATAAGGAACGTTTGCACATGTCTAAACACACTGAATTTTTGTGTGTGTTTTACTTATGTGAAAGCTTGATATTCTGGTTTTTTTTTTTGGTCATTACATGATCTAATTTTCGATTTTTTTTTTAACAGGTACAAATTCTGACACTTTAGTGCAATCTTTACGTAAAAACATATATTAAGGTGTGTTGCTGATGGAAGGGAAATCTCTGGCTGTTGTCATTTTTAAAGATAAATAACAGACTAATAGAATTGTAAAAAAAAAATTATGTATAGTGAGAGAGACTTAGAGCATGTAAAAGCCATGTAAATTGTATTATAGTTTGATCCACTTTTTCGGAGCATTGTAAAATACAGTAACATGATTAGTAAAAGATGGGACTCTCCGTAGTAACAATGCATTAGGTATGAATGTGTAGAAGGCACCCAAATAATATCATTTAAAAGAACACTTACACTGAACTTGACCACCTAACAGTACATATAGCCGTCAAATTACTAATTAATGTTATCTAGCCTGAAAGGACCCTTCTTTGTTGAATATAATCAATCTTTAAAATTTACAAACTTTTTTTTTTTCCCAAAAATGTTTAAGATACTGTGGCATTCAATTTTTCTATCATTCAATCATGAAAGCAGAAATAAACATGTTTTTATAATCATTCAACAATAATCCCATTGTTGCTAGCATGACTGAACAAGACTAATATGCCCATCTCTATCAGTCTTAGAGGATTTTCTCATTATCATTTATGTAAAATTTTGTCAGCATTCTCTACAACTGTAGTCTATAGTGTAATCATAATTAATGTAGATTCAAGTGTAATTATAACAAGGCAGAATATCGTAATTACAAATCAGTAGATGTTTACCAAAAATATAGAAAAGGAGGTTCGCTTTTCAAACTCGCTTGGAGTTATAATCTCTACATATTTTTTCCTATGTCTTCTGCTGTCTCAGCTCTAAAACATATGCCTTATCATATAAACTACTTATGTCTTTATAGTCAGTATGTGTTTAGTTTACCATTATTGAAGATTAAAATTCCTTTAAACAGTGACTTCACAAATATTCCATGGATATTGTTGCTTTTTTAAAATTTACTATCAATACTGTAATTTTTATATAGTAAATTCACAAAAAATAATAACATTTATGACAGGGTGTCTTTGGGAGGATTTTTTGCACTTTAAATAAATAAATAATAAATAACAAAACTCGGCAATTTTACTTTCCGGTTATAATTCCTCCTCTAATTTTTAAGGTCAAATAATAAGATGCTTTCACTTTCAAACTTTCACAAGGAATCCTGAAAAAAATCCAAACACCATTGTAATAATTTACTGTGTGTATGCTTCTTTTCTGGCTAGATATGGATTACAGTTTTACATGAATCATCGATGTATGGAAAAAATTCTTTAAGGCCCATGCCGTAAATAAGTAAATGTATGTGTGTCATGATGAAAATGACCCATCATCTTTTCAAAACTCTGAAATGAGGGACATGTTTTTGTTGACCTATTTCCATTAATACAGCAAATACGCATGTAGTTTAAAGCTGACCTAAAAAATGGCATTATGTGACATGATCAAAACACATCTGGTTAAAAAATAATCCACAACGTGATTGGTGCTTCGTTGTCCTATATTTACCAGCATAGACTAATTATATACTGTATTCAACTTTGAAAGTATATTAACGTCTGTTTCCCTGCCTGTCAACTATAGGTGGCGCCATTTTTTTCAATTATGTTTTATTATATGAATGTTTGATGTGTAATTCTTATAATTTCTATATCAACTTTGGTTTTATTTTGGGATATCATATTTCGTTGAGATTTCTTATTCCGTTGGTATTCGATATTCTGATGGGATTTGATATTCTATTGAGATTTGATATTTTGTTTACATGGAAACAGTAAATATGGTAACCGTGATCAAGATTTTTTTTATATTTTGTTGTTCTGTCATTATGTTTTGATAGTCACTCCCTGTTTTTTAATTAAATTTGGTATATTTATTTCCAGAGGTTAATTTGCTTGTGGTATGTATGAATTAAGAAGTTTATTATTAAAATTGACTGTTTGTATCCGGTGTAGATAAAACGTCAAAGAGCCAAAGACAGGATTAGTTATTATTAACAACATTTTTTAATGAAATTCCAGCTTTCAATAGTGATTATAGAACGTTGATGTTGATTATATTTTGATTACCCTAACATACTTGAAATATAACTTCTTGAATGACCTGATAAATAAACTAGATGTTCTTACAGCTTGCTGGATTTTAATATACAGTACAAATAATTATAAACAATCAAGATGATTCAACTCCAGAATAATATACATTTTAATAGTAGCATGGATCAAATTTTGTAGCAGCAATAATGATACAGAATCAGAGATACGGTGACCCACTATCATTGAGTGCCATGCTGATGGGATTCAGCGTGGTATGGTGTATTATGACAAACATGGCGTTCCATACATGATGTACCTTTGTAGCTGGCAATTATGCAGCGTATTTTATTTTGGGGGTTTTAAGCAGGAGGATTATAAATAGTTGTTAAGGCTCAATGCATGTATTATGCTCAGAATTGTTTATTGTTTAGTCTCATTATAGATAAGCTCTTTCATTTCAAATTGCCATTAAAAGATAAAATTGGAACACACTTTTTTTAATTTTCTAATTTTTTCGTTTCGAATTTTTACTTCTGATAATACTATTTGAGTGAATATGCTGGATACACTTTCAACATTGAAAATATAATACTATACTGTTTTGTCTGTAAATGATAAGTGGGAAAATTTCTTAAGTAACTAAAATGAGTTAATTACTGAATGTGTTCCCCTTAATAGGGTTTGTTAATAGAAAACCAAAAAGGAATGGGTAACAATGTGTGTCCTATCTATGATTGAGATTAAGGATAAAGCATGACAAAATACAAAAAAAAGACGGTCTAAAATGTGTTACCAACAATACTGTAAAACTGTGAATGCATCTGTCACTGCCGTAAGACAAGCAAAAGCTAGGTTTGAAAAAGATATTGCATTTAACATTAAAGCCAGTGATAAGGTATTTTAGGCCTTATTCCTATGCAAGAAGACAACAATTAAATCTGAAGTTTCATTTTATCAAATATCCCGATGGTTCTCTCTCAACTTCATGTAGCAATCTCCTATAAACAATGCTTGTAAAATGTTGTTAAATATTGTACACTCATAATCTTACTTGTTTGGATTATCAGTTCCAGGGACTGCCACTTAATAATATTTCTTTTTCACTATGATGTATTTTTTGCCATAAACTAACCGCCCAAAGGGTTTAAGGAATGTGGAGTATCAGTATCTTTCACCATGTACTTGATTACCGGTATGAATTATTCACCAGCTTCTGATGGGATTCCGGGGTATATGGAGGGAAGTCACAGTTACACCAATTCACAAAGGATCTAGGTCTTATCGGCCGATCAGCTCATTGTTGAATCCATGGTTGAATGTACCTTTGGATAAAATCTTGAGGAATGCTTTAATCTTCCTTCTGGAGTCGAATGATCTTAGCAAACACCAACACAGTTTTAGAACTCGTGGTTCATGTTTTACCCAGCTACTCCAATACTTCCAGGAATTCTTGATGAGAGCATGCTTCCTCCCCGATAGGAGTGATCCACTAGATGTTTTCATGGTTTTGAGAATCTTGACCCTCCTATTTTTCCCTCAACACACGAAGTCATTCATGTATACAATATTAAACAAACCCAACACTACTCTATTTTTTGTTCTCATTTTTTTTTTTTTTTTTTTTTTTTTTTTTTCCATGGAAGATACTATGTTACGACTGTCTCTTATATCAAGCATTATTAACTCATGGAACTCTTTACCCATCTACGTTGCAACCAGTACTAATACTAACATGTATAACCGACACCTAAAAACTGTAATGAGAAGAGGTAACTCCTTATGAGTTTCTACGAGTTTTAACTCATTGCCTTTTAAATATCACTACAGGTAAGCATGATCTTGAAGTACTGTCTGTATCGTTTTATGGCCAGGGAGAGCTGGGATACCTTTCCAATCCGTCCTATTCACCCACCTTTCCAATCCGTCCTATTCACTCAATCCGTCCTATTCACCCATCTCCTGGGAGTCACTTAGGATGGCCTTATTTTTACGATGAATGTTTGCCAATAAGAATATTAGGATCTCATGTTTTGAAATTGGACGATTTTATAACTGCCATTTTCCGGTGGTTTGGAGTCATCTATCACATAGGGACCCTCACCCTACGAATGCGGTCCTTATCACCTGTTAACCCCACTCAGGGGTCCCAGGTTGGAAGAACCCATTTCCAGGAGATGTCGTTTAATGACATGGGCGCTATATATTCTATGAGGGAAGGTGTAGGTGTCAAACGAAGGGCCATGCCCACATCAGGCCTACCATGATTGGGGCTGATGTGATGACATTTTTTTAGAATAGGCACCTTTAGAAGCCGGTAATGGCAGTGTTAGACTGCAAAAAATAATCGGCAACCAAAGTTTAGGTCTAAATAAAACATAAAGATTTGTTTTTGGCTGAATTTCCGGGAGATTTTTTTTTTGTTTGCGGGAGTGCGGGAGACCATACCGAGTACCGGGAGGCTTGGGACCCCTGCCCCACTTATGTAAGAATCATCAGAAAAAATTGCTAGGTAAAAAATAGTTCGATTGTGGGGGTGGGGGAGAAGAAAGGGTACGGCTTTTGTCGAAATTGAACAATTTTGTGTTCTGTAACACCAACGAAGTTATTAACGATAACACAGACGAATTCCTGAAAGAACCATTTATACTAAAATCATCAATAGAGCATAGGCCTACTTTAGACATGTGAATATCATTTCTAAACAAACATCAAACATTTTGTTTAAAAAATACAAAATACATTCATTATGGACTTTACGGCTAATGTGGCTCATTATACAACGTTAACATTATGCAACACAAATATTTCTAATAATGCAATCATTTCAAAATGTATTAAGCAATTATTTTTGCTTTTGTGGTATGCTCTTTGAATAAAGATAACGAAACTATATGTTCAATCAGATGACTCATAAACTTTATTTTCAAAGTTTAAATTGTGACGTGATATAGATTATTAAAGATAATACTCCTAGTGGATTTAAAAGATCCATAAGCAAGTTTTAATCTACGGTCCACAACAGAGCATAAACAGTTGGCAACGCTATATAGAAAAGCTGACTGAAATTAGAATTTTGAGCTAAAGATGCACTCTCTATCCTGAGCTAAAAAAATTAGAAATTTTATTTCATATATGAATTGCTTAATTTATAATTAATTTCACTTACAAATACTAATTTAATTAAGAAAATCTTACCCCCGCCAATTAAACAGATTTAAATACATTTTTATTAATTTAAAAGCACACCTTTAACATTGGCTGGTTATCAGTATATGTAGTAAAAATGCCTGTGAATCAGCGAAAACTAATTGTTTTTCAATCTGTTTCTGGTTAGAAATTAAAAACTTCTTTTTAGATCATCTTTTTAGATGAGCTATTCACAATGTTAACTGATTTTTCAGTTTGTTTTTGGGGTTTTTTTTAGATTTCTCTGAGAGTCTTTAACACGATGAACACAGCAACATATAGTTGCTGATGACATTATTGTACCAGATTCCTGATCTCTATATTAATCCACTTAACTTTCGTTTTATTGTATTAAATATTTGGCGTCTGGTTTATTCAATGAATGTAAACAAACATATGGCTTTTTTATAACGCTGAACTTATATTAAATATAGCAAAATACCACAACCAATCGTGAGAAACTGGTAATTAATAAAGAAACTCAATATAAACGTAAACATAAACCATGTGACTTTTTTTTATGCCTGAACTTGGAAAGGCCTACGCACTTTAAACTACGTAATAGCTTATTGTGAAGGATTCGTTGCCACTCGCGCACCCCTACAAAACATTCTAGATCTGCAAATGACATTATCTCAAAACATGTCTTTTAAGCTTTAGAATAGTCGTTGTTTAAGATTATAGTTCCTTGTTGACTGGCTGTATTTGCTTCTGGTGACAGAGGCATCTCATAATAATAATTCTCCTCTCTTTCAAAAGCTGGGTTCACAATTTCCATTGTCCTGTCATTTTCAACGTTGTTACAATCTCGCCGGTACTTAGAACTAACCCTGCAAAGATAAAAGTGAATCCATGGAAGATACTATGTTACGATGACTTGATATGTTATATTATGAACTGTGAATCTATCTTATAGTATGTCTGACCAAGTTGCAATGTAAAATATAGGCCCTATTTATCATTTATTTAAAAAATATAAATTTTTAAAGTATGTTTTGGTTGTCAAAATTTAAGCTATCCTCCTGGTACATTTATTGAAGACTAATATTTTAGGTAATTCTACAAACCAGAATAACAGTGCAAACTAACCTCAAGTATAATATAATCGAAAGAATTATTAATATGAGAATCATACCAACGGCAAGGAATATATACCACTGGCTGAACAACTGAAAGTAAATCAATATATATATATATAAATAATTGGTCTTTATTGACATCCCTTAATATATTGCATTATATTGAATCATTAAAATACTATAGCAAAAACATCTGGCCACAAAAAAAAAAGGTACTCGGTGCCAGTAATGAGTTCGCTTTTTGGAAACGATGTCTCTGAATATTAGTAACTAATATGACAGATAGGCCTACACAGAACACAGGTATAGGCATAGCACCTCATTGACTAACTCATACGTACTTTCGCAAGCAGACCCGTTTATAACTGAACATGATTTAGCAATGGAATGCTGGTAAAAGCCTGTTTTACAAATTATACACGTTAGTCAATAAAGTTTTACCTGTGTTTTATGTTATGTTAATCTAAATCAACCTATATATTCCTATACCTGAATTATCTTGTATCTTTGTTTTGTTATCCAAAATCATAGTTCCATTGGCGGATCTGAGGGGGACCCCTTGGACAAAAAAAAAAATCAGGACCCCGACCACCCTTCTTTTTGGGGTTCATCGATTCATGGAAAGAGAAGACGTAGGCCTATGATGTATGTATTTATACCGGTACACACATAATAGGCCTATTTACTGTAATAAGAATGAGAAAAATTTACCTGGCCGTTTTCAAGAGGGGAAAGCTTGAATTTTGAAGAACTTATAAAAGTCATTAAAAGACACATCAGATGTCGGGAAAGCTCATTTCCCGCCATCTAGACAGCAGAATTTCCCCGGAAGAATCCGGAGACCTGTCTCTTTAGGGTTCATTAACGAAACCTTGAATTTTGAAGAGTCATTAAAAGAGGCCTCAGATGTCGAGAAAGCTCATTTCCCGCCATCTAGGAATCAAAATTTTCCGGATGGGAACCCCCGACCCTCCGTTTTCTTTGGAGTTCATCGATTCATGGAAAAAAGAATACGTGTGCAACTACTCAATTTTGTTATGTATATACACACATAATAGGTCTATTTACTGTAATAAGAATGAGAAAATTTTCAAAATACCACCTCCCCCCTTATTTTGGGGGGTTTTTGGAAATATTTTGACACCCCTCCCCTCCCCCCTCCTAAATTGGAACCCAGATCCAGAATGTTTGATTGTTATTCCAAAAAAGGATAGCCGATCCAAAGTAAGCAATCCACTTAACAGAACTGCATAGCATATCAAAACATTCATAGCCATTCGAGCCATCGTAGAAAATAAGTATGATTTGTATTCTTATTTCAAAACTTTGATATCCTAATAGTTATAATGTAATTTTAAAATTGTATTTATTTAAAAAGATTTTGCTAACGAAAATTAAGACACTCTTTTCTTTGGAGTGTTCAATATGTCAAACATACATCAGATAGTTGTGCAACTAAGTATCCATGTTTTAAAATTGTATAAGGTTTTTTTTACTAAAATAAAAGGTAGTTTGAAAGAATGAAAATTAGATGGCCTGATAGTTCTGTGACCGTCTTAATTACGTTGTTCCATTTGCTGTATTTGCTGATTGTTTAAAAAATTCTATCTGTATTCGGACATTCACAGTAAACTGTCTCTTATACACATCTTATTGTGTCTGTTGTCTGTCTTTTTGTTAGGTAATCCACTTGACAGTTGATTTAGTTCTCTTTTTTGATTTCCTGTCTCTCCGTCTTTTTTGTGAATCGTATTTTATGTGAATTGTATTTTGAGACGAAAAAATAAAATGAAATGAAATAAGTGATTCTTATAAAATTATAAAAGAAAATATCAATGTTTACCGTAGGAGAATAATATTATTTGCAGTATTTCTCTCTCTTTCTCTTGTGCATCTTTAAGATTGTTGGTTCATTGTTGTAATCATCTATTTTTTTAAACTTTAGAATACCACCGGTGCCATAACAAACTAAAATTGAAATTATAAATAATTAGACAACTTACAGATTTTTCATCGTTAGTTTGTGTGACCGGTTCGGCTTTACCATTGTGTAGTTTTTGGTTGATGGCTAATGATATGTCCTCATCCAAATAAGAGTTAAGAAGATTTTCAATCTCTTGTGACGTTAACAGTTCGTCAGATATGGTGACGATGAATGTCACGTGAGTCACACGTTGTCTGTGAATATAAAACAACAATATCTTGTGAAAATATTCATTTTCGATGTTAGCTGCCAGGTTTCATTATGCTCTGGTGAAAAATGTCACTCCATGTTTTTTGTGTACCTCCTTTATCCTGGGCCTTTATCTACGTCGTATTCATAGACTTTCAACTTTTAATTTTAATCAAATATTTATTCTGCTACAGTCCCCTTTAAAGCGAGACAACCTTTCAAACCTTAGGTAAATTATACATGAATTTAATTAAGAGTATAACAAATAATATAATAATAATAATAATAATAATATAATAATAATAATAATAATAATAATAATAATATAAGCTTACATTAATTTTAATTGACAAATTTTAGTTTGAACGTACCTGAACAATTGTAATATGCCTACAAGTAAAATAATATTCGTACGAGCTTCATTTTCTGTATAAGTAAATTACAAACACTACTATATCCTCGTGAGACAACTTTTAAGATAAACTTGCATTTACTTTGTAAGTACATCTTCATATTCATCGGTTGCGATTATCTTGGTCTGTACTGTCGAGCTGCGCTTCATCTGGGATCCTCCAAGAAGAGCATTCATTCCAATTTCAAACTTGACTTTATCCTCCAGGGGACCAATGACGTTAATGAAGTACTCGTGCTTAGACAAATCTAGAAAATCAAAACGATTTTTTCATTCTAAGCACTACCTTTTAATGTGCGTTTTTAGAAATACAATAGTCAACTTTGGACACTTTGGAAATATTTCCAGTAGGCCTACTGCCACCTGGTTTTGGATAGACTAACCACAGCGCCATAGGACCCAACACATGATAACTCACCTATACTGCAGAAGGAACCATAGAAACCAGTGTCACATAGGCACTCAAACTCATTCACCGCTAGTAACCGACACTTGCCATTCTCACATGGAATCTTGGAGCACACATCGTCTATCAAAGATTCGCACGTTTTTCCAACGTAAAAATTGCTACATTTACACCTATTCAAATTACAGTAATATTTACGTTAAAAAATAATGGAATTTGAAAATAAATATAAAAATTGTCACAACTTGTAATTCCTATTTATAATTCTAATATTGTAGTAGTATTATAAAATATGTATTTACTGTTAAATTTCGCCATAGTTTCTATGAAAAAGTTGGATAATAAGCTAATGTATGACATAGTTATGACGAATGTCTATACATTCGTGTAAGATGTAAACATCTATGTGATTACGATGAAGACAACCATAATGATTATAATAATTATGTAATGTTCATTATATTGAAGAAAATAATAATAATAATCACGTTAGTGAAGTAGATGATAATGATGATGCACTGAGACAGCATAATTGACTAATGGCATTTTACTAACTTCATAATATTATTATATACAGGTAGCCTATACTCACTCAAATTCTCCAGGCAAATCTACGCATGCTCCGTTTTTGCAAGGATTACTGCCGCATTCATTAAGATCTTTCTCACATAGATCACCTGTGAAACCCGATGGACATATACAAGTGTACATATCCAAATCATCTACGCACTTGGCTTGGTTCTTACATGGGGAACTATCGCATTCATTAATGTTCACTTCACAACGGTCACCTGTAAATCCTTCTACGCATGAGCAATTAAAACTCGCTACGAGATCAATGCATGTGGCTCCATTTGCACACGGTTGGTTATTAGTTAAACACTCATCAATATTAATTTCACAAGTTTGACCCGTAAATCCATTCGGACATTGACAGTAAAAGGTGTTGATACCATCAGAGCATGTTCCGTTATTGAAACACGGCTTCGAAGCGCAGTTGTCTTCGTCCTCTTCACAAATGTCACCAATGTAGCCTGGTGAACAGTGACATGAAAATCCTGCGATCATATCTACACAAGTGCTGCCATGCTGGCAGGGTACTGAAGAACATTCATCATGTTCCGCCTCGCATTGGTTACCGTAAAAACCAGGCGCACATTGGCAACGATAGCTGTTTAATTGATCGACACAAGTACCTGAATTTAAACATGGACTGCTATTACATTCGTTAACTTCAATCTGACAGACATCACCTTGAAAGCCAGGAGCACAGATACAAAGACGACGTCCTACAAGATCTAAACAGGTCGCGCCATTTAGACATTGTGAGCCTGCACAGTCATCGATGTCTACATGGCAGAGGTCTCCTGTGTAGCCGGTGTCACATTCACACGTGAAACTTGCAATTCCATCTGTACACGTCCCATTATTTGCGCACGGAAAGCTTTCACACTCATTAATGTCTTCACTGCATGTCATTCCGTCGAATCCATGAGCACAATGGCAAAGAAACCCGTCGATATTGTCTGTACAATTCCCGCTATTTTGACATGGTTCACTAGAGCACTCATTAACGTCAATTTCACATTTTATTCCCGCGAAACCATTAGAACATGTGCATTTGAATCCATCTACCATGTCTTGACACGTGCCATCATTTCCGCATGGAGAACTCTCACACTCGTCGATGTCAACGTGGCATAGCTTCCCTTCGAATCCTATGGAACAATGACAATAGAACCCATTAACTTCATCGTAACACGTGCCGAAATTTTGACATGGTAAACTCTGACATTCGTCAACATTCTCTGAGCAGATTGTACCCATGTATCCGTCTTCACACAAACATGTAAAACTATTAATTTCGTCAGTACAAGTCCCATTATTTAGACAAGGCAGACTATGACATTCGTCAACGTTTTCTGAACACGCGGTGCCATCGAAACCAGGTTGACAAATACAGGAGTACTTATTGACCTCATCTTGACACGTCGCTCCATTGAAACATGGTTCAGATTGGCATTCGTTGTAATTGATGTCACAAAAGTTTCCAACATATCCTGACTGACAAATACATGTGAACGTAGCAACTTCGTCAACACATGTTGCGTTATTCTGGCATGGGTCACTCAAACACTCATCTATGTCAGTTTGACAATAGTCACCAGTAAAACCTGCTGTGCAGTTGCAAGAGTACCCATTGATACCATCAGTACATGTTCCACTATTTTGACATGGTAAACTTTGACATTCATCTATGTTGACATTGCAGGTGGATCCCGTAAAGCCTGGAGCACATGCACAGTGGAATCCATTAACACTATCTGAGCAGTTACCATGGTTTGCACAAGGATCACTACTGCACTCATTAAAATCAATTTCGCAAAACTCTCCTTGAAACCCTGGCTGACATTTGCATGCGAAATTATTGAAGTAATCCGCACACACACCACCATTTTCACACGGTTCACTCAGACATTCGTCTGTTTCATTTTCACAAAGATAACCAGAAAATCCCTGTACGCACAAGCAGAAATGTCTGTTGAAATCATCTACGCATGTTCCGTTGTTCATACACGGTGAACTTTCGCACTCATTAACTTCAAGTTGGCACTGCTCACCATTGAAACCCGAGAAACAGTCACAAAAATATCCGTCAACTTCATCGTAACACGTTGCATTATTGAAACACGGAAAGCTATCACATTCGTCATATTCCATCTCACAATTCAGGCCAAAGTACCCTCTAGCACATGCGCAATTATATCTATTGATATCATCATAGCATGTCGCTTCATTCTGACAAGGTGAACTTTCACACTCATTGATGTCTGTTTCACATACATGACCTTTGAATCCATCAGCACATGCGCATATGAAGTTGTCGACGTAGTCATTACATGTGCCGTTATTCATGCAAGGTAGACTTGTGCATTCGTCGATTTCTAAGCTGCAGAGATAACCTCGGTAACCAGGGGCACAAGAACAATTGAATCCGTTGACATTATCGCTACATGTTCCACCATGTTGACATGGAAAACTTTCACACTCGTCAACGTCAACCTCACAGAGATCTCCAGTATAGCCACTTGTGCAAATACAAGTGAACCCATTGGTACCATCATTGCACGTGGCTCCGTTTAAACATGGATAACTTGTACACTCATCAACGTCGATTTCACATAATGAACCATTGAAGCCGGTGGGACACAAACAAGTATACTCATTAATACCATCCAAGCAAGATGCATTGTTCATACACGAATTGTTCAAGCATTCGTCAATGTCTACGTCACAAATCGCGCCAGTAAATCCCGGTGAACATACGCACGTGTATGCGTTTATCGCGTCTATGCATATTCCACCATGCTGACACGGACTGCTATTACATTCATTAATATTCACGTCGCATGTACTTCCAGTATAGCCACCCATGCAGCTGCAATGAAATCCATTTTGACCATCAACACAAGTCCCTGCATTTTCACAGGGAGAGCTTAAACATTCATCAATGTCAATTTCGCATCGGGTCCCATTATATCCAGCAATACAATGGCAGTTAAACCCATTTATCTCGTCAATACAGGAGCCAGAATGTTGGCAAGGGTCACTCAAACACTCATCGGTGTTTACCCCACATTGTAGTCCCTCAAAACCGTCCATACAAGTACAGGCAAAGCTGTCAATGAGATCTACACAGGTGGCACCGTTTGCACAAGGGGAACTTCCACATTCATTGATGTCGGTGTCACAAGTGCTACCTGCATATGCACTTGTGCAGATGCACTTGAAGCCATTGATTTCATCTTCACAAGTTGCGCCATTCTGGCATGGATCACTCACACATTCGTCAATATTCATTGAACACAGGCTTCCGCTGTAGCCGGTCGAACATATGCATTGGAAACCATTAACTTGGTCTAAACATGTGCCGGAATTTAAACATGGATTACTCACGCATTCATCGGTATCAATTTGGCAAGTAATACCACTAAATCCAGGAACGCATGCACACTGAAACCCTCCGATTAGGTCATTACATGTCGCAGAGTTCAGACATGGAGTACTGGAACATTCATCTATGTTTGTCTGACATCTATTACCTGACCAGTCAAGTGTACATGAGCATGTGTATCCGTTAATGACGTCCTGACATGTGCCACCATTTTGACAAGGATTACTTGAGCATTCATTCAACTCTGAAGCGCAGGTTGTTCCTAAAACAAACAAAAAAGTTTGCAGGTTATTGTTTGTTTTAGTACATTTGTTACATATCGGTGAACCAGTCAACGAGGTGGGGAGTAAGTCATGGCCTGGCTAGTAAATCTTTCTTAAGAATTTGAGTAATATGAATAGCTCCAGAGATGAATATTTTCTGATCCCAGTCAATCGTTTTAGCTTTGAGCCTTGCATACTATAAGCTACAAGCCTCAAAACAATAGTTTAAAAAAAACCAATTTCGTCTTACCATAAAAACCTAGAGCACAAGTACAAGTAAACCTATTGAGTCCATTAGCACACGTAGCTCCGTTAACACAGGGGGAGGATAGACACTCATTCACGTCTTGATTACAACTGGTTCCCTGCCAACCTGACAGACATATCTTTCCCCCAGAACTGCTGCAGGAATAATGACCGGTAGTGTCGTCACGAGCTCGACAAAAGACGCTGCACGTACTTCCATAGTAATAGGTAGTACAGTAGCCTCTGACCTGGATGTCTAGGCTAAAATGAAAGTAAAATATTCTAAAACCATGAATATGTGAAGATTGTATCTTGTATCTTGTATGTTTATTATCTAGAAGGTAAAAGGAAAGATAAAGTTAGTTCCGAATGTAAGGAAATTAGCTGTTAGAAGCCCATCGTAACTTCTCTAGAAGATTGTGCAAATGCCCAATGATACCTTCTCGATGTGATGATTATTGGAACTTATTCCTTAAAAAATAATCTTTCGCAATAACAAAGACGTGAATACATGTGACGCTTACCTCGACCGTCTTCCTGTGATTGTTACGGATGCCCAGGTTGATTGTGATGACGTACGAGCAGGCGTAAAGTATATATTGTGTTTGTATTGATCTATCTGGTCATCTCCATTACCACCGTCGTTGTCGTGCACAATTCCTTTGATACGAATTCCATTCTAAATTTAAATATAATTTGCACCTGAATATACTGCGTTATTGCTATCTAATCCTCATTATCATTGATCAAAATGACACGCACATAATTCGTGCAAATCATTCAGAATGCCGATTTGAGGCAATTTCCTCAGTTTATAAATGAAACGAATATAATACAAATATTAAGTATGTGCTATACCTCGAAATGCAGAACGCAACATAGGGCTAGGTGTGGGTGGCGTCGGTGGGCATTACCCACTGACAAATTGAAGCAGAGGAGGGGGGGGGGGGCGAGGTCCCCGATGCCCCCCGACGAGGGGCCGATTCCCGATTCCCCCTGACGAGGGGTCAGATTTCCCCAACGAAAGTAATGTGGGCGTGGTCGAGCTTCGATCAAAAGATCTCGAAGTGGTCCAAGGGGCGAAGTCCCCGAATACCTGAACAATTTAGGGGTTTCAAAGGCTTATTTAATCGATTTTAGAGTCTACTAATATGTAGAAAATACATATAATTTTTTTTTTATCCCCGACGAATTGTGCTTTTTCTCCCCGACGGGGGGGGGGCCCGGGGGGGGGGGGGGAGCACTCCCCGGAGGGGCTGTTTCCCCTCCCCCCGCTGGCGCCACCCCTGATGTTTAGATGGATGGATGGCTTTGGTGTAAAGGATAACCCACGAAAGTATAAGGAAGACTTATTTCTAGTGGGGTCCTTCTGGTGGTGATTAAGCAGTACACCGGGAGACATTTCACTAATCTTTTCCGAAGAGTGCACATGGGTCATTGCACTCTGGGCCAACGGCTTAAGCGTCTCATCCGAAAGAGCGTGCGCTATCGTAACTTACATTTCAGCACTCCAGGTGAAATACAAGGAGAGCAGCAATGGGAATTGAACCGGAGAACATGAGATCTCCACGGTTCAGCGCACACATAGAAGCCACCATCTTGTTGACCTAAAATTGGTAGAAGTGGTTGTCATCATATTTCGGTGACGCTGATTGGTCAGTCGAATCGAGGAACCTTGCCGATTACGCCAGGGAGTTGAAGTGAAAAAACACTGTAGCAATGGTGTAACGATTTTATGGAAACACGCTTCTAACAAATCATGACACAAAAGTGAATAGTGGCTTCTCATATCCAAACCTCCTCAAATTGTTTCTGGCAAGGTGGAGTAGCGAACTTACCTTCATCAATTTATGGCAAGTGGAGGATATAATATACAAAATCACTTTAAACTTAAGCCCGTTTTCCACTGGGCGAATATATTCGCGTGAATCGAAGTGTCGATTCATGCGCATGCGCACTCACATTTCTATAAAAGTTGCTTCAGCGAAAAAATGCGCAACCAATTAGAGCTCAGGAAGCGAAACGACGCTTTCGAATCGCACTAATAAATTCGACTAGTGGAAAACAGGCTTTAAAAAGGACTGTTAGTGTATATACCAAGCAGGGGTGTCCCCAGAATATGCCTGACGGGTGTCCAATCGGAAGTGGTCCCCCGAAAACTACGACAATTTAGGGATTTCAAAGGCTTATATAATAGATTCTAGAATCCGCTGATATGTAAAACGCCACTCCTCTTTCCAAAAGGGATATATATATA